TGGCTTCATTTCTTTTGTCCCCAGAGGAGGGTAGGACGGAGGCAGTGGCCCCAGAGGATGTGGCCACCGAAAAGGGTAGGACAGAGTGGGTGGCCCCGGATGAGGTCTTGGTGGTGCGCCCGGAGGGGGTGGCCCCGGAGGGTGGTACGGAGGGGATAGCCCCGGAGGAGGTCGTGGATGACGAGCATACACCTGCGAGGAAAAGGAGTGGATATTAGTAGTGGTGGAGGACGAGCATACACCACGAGTGGATATTAGTAGTAAACAGCCCATACCTACTCATTCCCAACCCCTACTACCAACAGCCATCGGTTCCGCCGTCGGTACAGCCGGGAAATAACTTCCTTAACGACTCGGAAGTGGATGCATTCATTCATGATCTATTACATGATCCGGCTGAGAACCAACAAGTAGGTCCCGCTGAGAACCCACAAGTCGGGAACCCACAAATGAGTCCAGCCGAGAACCCACAAGCCGGGAACCCACAAGTCGGTCCCGCCGAGAACCCACAAGCCGGGAACCCACGAGTCATGGACCGACACTTTTCCCCCGATGAAAATGAGTTGATAGATTTATTGTTCAAGAGAGCTAACACTGGACCTTTTCAGCATAATTTTGTCCATGAAAGGAATTTCTACCTGCATCCTCCACAGTTTCTGGCAGGTATATTTTAAACTCTCATATTTTTGTTTCATTTAAAATTTATATTTGTATTTGTATTATGTTTGGAGATCACTTATATTTAATATTTCGTATTACTTCTTTGTTCAAGTTTAATACCTTTTGAATTTTGTATTTGATGGTTGTAGACATTCCCTTTGACTGTGAGCATTGCCGCATTGGTGTCTAGAGGGAATCTGTGATTCTTTTACAACAAAAGAGGAAAATGTCAACTCTTAAAAATGAGTGTGTTCATACTATATATATTTTGGTTCTCACATGGAGTTGTGTTTTTGTTTGTTACTTGTAAAAACTCTTACCTCCTGTGGTTGATAGAAAAAGACACAGCAATGCTTAACTTAAGAAGCTAGATAATTAGTTAGCTTTATTATTTAAAGATTGCTTTCAATGTCTCTTTCTTGTCTTCCTTATTGGATAGTTTTAAAATGTGAAAATGTTTTATGATTTCCTTTTGAGTAATATGAAAATTTACAAAAGTTCAGTTGAGCTCTCAATCCTTTTAATTTTGTAGATGTTATGTGTGGGCCAATTTTGATTTCAACTTGTTGGATAAGAGAATAAGGGCACCTCCCCTCATTTGAATATGCTCTGTCACTGTCCATGATTAAAATTAGAGTCCTAAACTCTTGTTCTTTTTTCCTTTCTATATGTTTTTGTTTATAGATAATAATGTTCTAACATATCCTGGAACATTTTTCTTTTTTACCCTGATAGTGCACCATGCTACGGGAAGAGTCAATCGACGTATTCTAGAAAGGGGTGGTGTCTGGGTTCACGCTGGTGGAAGTGTGAAACAAATCACAAAGAAAGGAAATCAGCATCGCAGAGTCGTAGGATGTAGGCGATCATTTGGGTTTAGACCTGCCAATGCTAATGTCGGCAAGAGGGTCAAGTTGCCTTCCCAATACGTCATTTCTCCCTTCACAGCTGAGGTAAAGAGGAGGACGTTCGTCGACGGG